CTGAGCACGGATTACAACCGCGACGCTGGACAGACAGGATCCGCAAGCCAGTGAGGCCATTCAAGTGAACCCCCGGCTTCGAAGCTACTGTAGTATACGGTGTCTCTCATTTTGATTGATTCATATGTAAGTATTGGTGATGTACAACCTTGCTTACTGGGCTTTGGATCATGAGCTTTATTTCTGTTTACCATCCACAGAAATTGTCGTGAACACCTGCCTTCGGAGAATCACTGTCCCCTGGTGCGGCCATAGCGTGCATATTACAGCTACGTCAACAAACTTCAAGGGGGTGTGTTGGGCAGGAATCCACACGCATCACACTATACCGCACGTCTTTAGGCGCTGCTACGGCCGATAAGCCTGGCCCACTCGAGGTTGGCCCAGAATTCGGGATGCTTGCGGGTCCGGCATCAAGGCGAGATCTGATTGGTCAACAATCTGGACCCAACAGCCAACCATGACCCAGTATTGGCCAAATGCCGGTTGCCAATGCCGTATCCAGGAGAGGTCAGAAACTCCAGAAAGTTATAACCGCTAACGCTATATATACGGAGCGCTGTACAACTGTTCTTGACTTCGTTTTGAGCATTAATAGACCTTGTGCACCCCTGGTGGTTGTTTTGACGTGACCGCTAGATTGGGAGGCTCAGACCGTGAAGTAAGCTGAGGAAAATACCGTTACTACAAAAACAGGCTTTCAAGTCAAGAAAAAACAACGTGTGAGGTTTGAAGCAGTGGCGCTGGTCAGGCATTTGTCTAGAGGTAAAGGTTAACCGTAAGGCAGGGCAAAAATAAGCTTGATTCCCACGAATCTGTCTCTCCCGATAATCCAAAAACCTGCGCAAAATATTCACAGAGAACACCTTGAATGCACCGGACACTAGGTTGATACCACGATGGTTCCCGCATGACGTTCTTTTGCACTTTTGGAAAACTGGGGTGACGGTCGAAGAGCTTCATCCGGCTGGTTTTGTTTCGTTCCAAATCTATAGTATGGTCGTCAGGCTGTTCACCAGGACCTCACCAACTTCTTTGAAGGGCACGTGGTGCAGACGATACGAATCAAGTGCCTTGTCAGGCTTCGGGATTGATATTTCACAGAGGATTTCAGTTACGGTTTTGAAATGGTAAAAGGTCGTGCAACGCTATATCGGTCCTTGATTTCCTTGTCAGCCCACTATGGTATATCAAAAGGAAAGAGCTTTTGGCAGCCCTTTATGGGGACAAAGGAAAATTATTACAAACGTATTACTAGGGTAATAACAGAATGCTCCACAAGGTCGTGCTACAGCCATTTTGAGGGATGTGTCCAGCGTCAAGTAAAGATACACTATTTGGATTGGCTGGAATTCTAACCTTCGTGCCATGTCTAAGTTTCGTCCGTAGCTGGCGCCTGACACACCCGAGCAATTGATGTGCTACTCGTTTAATCGAGGCGACCGCACAGCAGAAACCTATTAATGACGGGTAAATGTCAATTACATTCGGACCCACCTGGTCCCTCTATGGGTCGTGTGGAAGGTAACCACATGAACTGTTTTCTGAAGTGTCCAGCCCATCGCTCACGATGGCGATTCAACGAGTGAATTGCTGTTTCATCTTCCCCACATATTGTTTCACTGACATGTGCCTTCTTTTGGCCGGTTGATCGAATCAGGTGAAGTAGGGCGCAGCTATTGCTTGCAGCGAAAGCCTTCCCTATCTCCTGAGCCCTCGAAATCCACCAGATTTCTCCGACATTATTCAATTTTCTGATTATCCGGTGTTAGCGGGATCTGCGTGTGCTACCACAGTCACCAGTTGCTGGTATGGGTTTTCTGGACGCAATAATATCTGCTAACCACGACGATGTCCAGTGTTCAATTAGAGTCGGATGGCCCGGACAAGCAGTTCTTAAAGCCGGGAGCATTACTTCCTTAGTTCGCCTCCATCCAGCCTTCAAACACTCTTCACCAATTACCTCCAACGGCTTTCTAGACAGATCAGCTCGATACTCTTCAGCTACCGAATCTTGTCGTAGTTGATGAATGTAGCTACTCTCCGTTGGTACACGCAATGCTGGCGGAAAGCGAAGTGCTGGCCGGGTCCGCACGATGGCGTGACCAGAGTCAAGTTGCGTACACCAGAATTAACGACAATGCTTAACTGAGACTCTCCGTCGTTAACTGATAGCCACATGGTCTAATTGAGTCCACAACTGTCTTGTGGTAGGTGGTCTCCAAGTAACTCGATGTGAGCGTTTGTGTTGAAAGTTCGTACTGGCTAGGGGCAAACGATGGTCAGCACACAACTGAAACAGTCTCCCCCCCATTATCCGTGCTTTGAGCATAGACACCAAATCTACCGCTCACTTGTGCTCCTGGATTCATTCGTTTACTTTTGGTATTCATATCACCTCCCATAATGACCACATCCATCCATCCAGATTCGTCGTTCTCAGTCTCAGAACTGGCACTTAGTGATGCGACAAATGACCAGCGTTTACTCCGTCTACTTGCAATGATCTTATAGAGCGAGACAGCCGCACAAGGCAAAGAATCCTGCTTACTAGGATCCAGTCCAGTGAGGCGCTTTTAGCCTTGGGGGAGTGTGCAACCTCCATGCCGGACAAACTACGAACTTTTGCGTTGGGACAGCTGGATACCCGAGAGGTGAGATGTGAAACATCTCGGCTGATCTAATGGGTTTGAGGGGGACATCCGAAGTAAGGTCTTGTATGGATATTTCGGAGACACAACATGTATCAGTAGAGAGGGGAAGCAAGGTGTGGGCGAGACATGCTCTGAAGGTAGGCATACTACGACAGCATGGCCACCGTACTTTGCAATGTCGTTGATTTCTACCACTCCGGTGGAAATTCTATTCACATTTCAACCTGGGGCGTTCGATGACCTTGAGATCTGACTCATTTATGCAAACAGCTTCCGGCAACGTATAACTGGGACACGCAACATAACCACACCTATACATGTATAATCCTGCACTTTTAAAACGCTCATTTTCCACGGCAACATTCTCGCTTTTCTTTAAGCGATGGTTTGTGAATGCCGAGCTGCAAAACAGCAATTATTCCAGGGCTGTTAGATTGTGAGAGCTATTGTCCAAAACTTTTTTCTTTTTTGCTGCTCCCCTTCGTCAAAACTCGGAACTGTAAAATTCCTCACATATGTGCAATCTAAAGAATAATATAGGAACTAGACTTTACACTACGACACTTGGCAGCGTTGATCAAGCTTCAACTTGACTCGGTAGTGTCCAGTCAAACTTAATAAAGCTCTTTGCTCCACGGAGAGCATCATCTAGACGGTGTTCATTAGCTTCACTCTATAGAAATCTAAATCCAGGTCTATCGAAATGATTCACGGATTCAGGGATTGATTCATGGAATTCGGGCTTCTCATGTCTGATTCGTTGGATCACTCTTTCGGCTCCCGATCTCCTGAAGGGCACGAGCACAGCTTTACGCGCTGATATTAGGCTTGCCCTTCGGTGGCCCAAATAAAAACGTCCAAAATGCTCTAATCTGGACCGTAAATCCCGCTTGACCAAATGTCGGAGAAAGATTGTTCCATGCACCGTCTTCCTGAAACGAGATAATGTTTGAATAAAAGTGTTTGCTCTGTGCTTGAAAGTCTTTTCACTTTGACCTCACCGCAAATCGACCACGCCAACGGTGGAAGGCTTCGTGATATACCCTGATAGAAAAGACGCAAACAAGTATTTGACCCTCTCTCAGAACTCGACCTTAGTTAAAAGAGCTCAAAGGCCCATAGACGCGTTTCATGCTCAACGAATTTAAGACCTGAAACCATTTTCTATGTGACCATCGTTTGTCCTTAGTGAACGAATTTGTTGGCGTATTCGAGAAGCTGTCTAACGTGGGCGCCACAGGGCACATAAAACTCTGTCTAAGAAGTGCCGAATCATTCACGGAACAGTGAATTCCTTTTGAGATAATTTCTCATGGTGGATTGCGAAGGACAAACCCTTCTGAAGGCCTATTTTATTAGTGTTTGTCGGCTAAGTCTCACCATGCATAGCAAATAAACGAACACACTTTTCATCATTACAGGAAATTACCAGTCCAGTGACCGTCGCCTCGCGGCGTCGCCGAAGGCGTTGGAACTCAAAGATTTCAGGTCATCCGAAAAATTTGACATGGTGATGGATGCCCATCTGGAAGTAGTGGAGAGTTGAGAAGGAGAGAGAATATTACAGAAGAGTGGGTTGAGCCGACCTTCTCTCAGAAATCCGATTTCAACTAGCTTTACTCACATTAGATGTCAGAACCGAGGTTTTTGCACGCACTTTCCCGGAGAGGACGCGGACACTGATCGGCACAATCCAATTTGCAACGGGTCTGTCGGTGTTAGTATCTGTCTATCCATCCATCTATCGATCTATCTACCCACTTACTTACCTGTCTGTCTGTCTATCTATCTATCTATCTATCTATCTATCTATCTATCTATCTATCTATCTCTGTCTGTCTGTCTGTCTGTCTGTCTGTCTGCCTGTCTGTCTGTCTATCTCTTTCTTTCTACCCATTTTTTCACTTGCGCCTTTCAGGTGAACGACAGCCGCTGAACGACAAGAAGGAAAACCGACCAGGAAACTTGGGCAAATCCTCGATCCTGTTTATCAATCCGTGAATCCGTGAGCCGAATTCCGTCCAATCAGGGTCTAACCGAATCTAGGCCAATTGAAGTTGTGCTTGTGCTCCGGGTCCCCACTTCCTGTCAGAACCAGGATCGGCACCAGAATCGGATTTATTAAGAAAAAAGTATTCCTTAGATTATAGAAATAATGAACTCTTTGTAGCACAAAAGTTGATAACCCCATGTATGTCTCTGATCCAGCTGTCATTTAGTTTGTGCAGACAGAGGGACCATAAACAAATTTCTCCACAGTAAAATACATAAAAAAAGACTTCAACCGGTATTTGAATTATTCGACTGTAGTTGTTGTATGCGGCATTTTATTACAGATTAGCAAGTTTCTGCGCACAAGACTAGACATGCCTATTAGCCCCATTAGCGCACCGTGCAAGGTGTTGGACCGCATTCTGATGCGGACCATCCTAGATCGCCTCACTGTCAACAACTTGATATCCCCAGTTCAACTTGGATTCATCCCGAACCGTTCGTGTGTGAACAGCGTGCTCGTATTTATGGACAGCTTAACCTAAGCTAAGGATGCAGTATTTTTCGACTTCTCAAGAGCATTCGGATGCAGTGTCACACGTCCTGCTCTTCCACAAACTCGAGGCTTATGTGATTCAAGGAAAAATTATACGCTGAATTAAGGCGTTCCTATCAGACGGAATATTCCTGGGAAAAGTACGCTCGATCTACTCTCCGGCGTCAGTCTCCATTGGAGTTCCTCAATGTTCTGTTTTGGGACCACTTCTGTTTCTGATCTACGTCAACGACCTTCCAGACGTCCTTCCAATGGAATGT